AACTCATTGATTGAAAGGCGTCGCATGGAATGAACTTGAAAGTAATTCATATTTGACAAGCGTGCACCAGCCAAGAAGCCTGAGGGAGATGAACTGGTGAGGACTATACTGGGCATGCCTCATGCGGGTAAGACACAGGTGATGCGGAAAGCAGCCAATAGAAGAGCGTTGTGAGTAGGCAGCCCTTGGGTAAGGTTCGCAACGTCAAGACATGCCGCGAAGGTATGCTCCACGCTTGCCCGGCGATTTCATCGCGAGAGAGGGGGCCGGGATCTGCGCGACACAGAGGCGACTAAGGGAGGACATTAATGAAAGATGGAACGAGAAGACGGGACGAGGTAGCCTAGAATGGCTCGAAATTGTTGGCAGGTCAGACATGTCGATGGGTATAACATATGAACCGTCGGCCAATAGATGACCTTGATGGGATGAGATTTCTCTGCAGATCTCATGCTGGAAACAGTTCCCGCCGAGGTGAGATTTGATGGCGTGAAGGATAGTTAAACTTCGGAAAACAGTCGAGGGCATTCGGAGCATCGACACCACAAAGGCTGAGAATAGATGTGTCTCGACATAGCTAAATGCTTCGGCGACACCGCTTCTTTGCCCAATCTCCATGGAGTGAGAAATGGGTAGGTGATGGGGTTCGGTACGAGACCTGCGTCGAGGACTGGGTTCCTTCGGGCATATATTGATCATCAGAGAGCCTGGAACAAATGAAACATTCCCATCGCCAAGAGTAGCAGTTGGTGTACTGGAGAGCGGGAGTGATTTCGAGATCGACGCCAGTGATGACCACTCGTCCGAAAATTCGCCAAAATAACGCCCAAGACGCACAAACTGAATAGGATTTACGGGGGTTCACCCACAGGATGGGTTCTGTGTGTTTCCACGGCAGGTATACGGTGAGAATAGCCCTCGAAAGAGAAAGAAAATGAGCCGCGAACAAATCCTGGTGGTAAACGCCATCAGCGTCGACAAAAGGAGTGCTGAGCAAACCCGCAAAAGCTGCCGCGTTGTTAGACCAGGAACAGGAACTTCGGAACGGAACAGCCTGAATACCCCACATTCTGTACTTCATCTTGCTTGCTAACGCTGTCGACGTCGTCCATGGCCACCACATCCCAGGAAACTGCTCAGCAGCTGCGCGCTCGAAGGGCCTTCAAGGCTTGCCTGCATTGCGTCCGTCCTGTTCACAACCGACAATTCTTATCACGCTGACATTTGGTTCATTCGTTCTCAGCGTTCACGCAAAGCCAAGTGTGATCTCGGAGATGTAGATTCACCAAAGGATCCTCCCTGTGCTCGTTGTCGTAGGGAGGGCAGGGAATGTGTATTTGCTCCTTCTCGCCGGGGTGGGAGGATTCGATCGAAGAGCAAGGACGTGGATGGGGAGGAGGACCTGTTGGAATCTCACAGCGATACACGTCCGCTGCTCGGACCCTCGAGTACGGTTAAAACCCCTTATCGTGCGTCCAACCCTTCATCTGCTTTGAATGTGATCCCTGATGTTGTCTCCCGATTTCCGCGTTCAGCCCTCAGTCTGACGCACAATCCCCATTCTCTGTCTGACGACGGTGCTGGTATATCACCACGCTCTGCAGCTGATGCTCAACCCTCTCCTGCATCTTCGTTTGATAGAACACACCGTCCATCAAAACGTCGTCGGCGCGATTCACACTCTCCCGTTGGCCCCGAAAGGCTTGCGGCTGCCAATCTCCGAAACCCTGAAGATGCCGTCAATCTGCTCGTCCTCGCTTCCGAGGCCGCACACCAAATGAATACTGGAGAAGGCTCCAGCGATTCAGAAGACAACTACTCTGCCGGGGAGACGAGCAGAACCGGAGCTGCTCCTCCCCGCAATGTATCTCCTCGATCATCGCGACTGTCTCCACTTGTACAATCCCACCGATCTACACCATCCCTCGAGAATTTCCCCCTGGTAAAAGATGGTGTCCTGAACGTTTCTCAAGTTCATGATCTCGTGGACGTTTTCTTTACCCGAATCCATTTCATCTTCCCGATGATTCCCCACCATCGGATTCCCAAAACGCTTGGTCAACTAGCAGCTTTCGCTGACGAAGAGCCTCATCTCTTGGCCACGATTATTGTCATTGCGTCTCGTCACGAGAAGAACTCGCAGATACATGAGCGGTCATGGTCCTATTTGCAGGTCAGTGGACTCCCATTCACCCTCGCCATCAGCTCACATGTGACGCAACCATCCAGTCCTGTATCACTGGAATTATGTGTGGTAAGAAGGCCACGGTTGGGACTGTAGAAGCGCTGTTGTTGCTTTCTGGTAAGGCTTCACCCCAGTTTTGCATTCATTGTCATCACTCTGCCACCCTAGAGTACCTGCCACGTCAGTCCGACGAAGACGTCGTCGATATCCATGAGGAGGAGAATCGCATGTCCTGGATGCTCGTCGGTACTGTCAGTTCCTACCTGTCCTCTTGTTGTGCGTCAGCTTAAGTATCGCCAACGTCCTAGGCTGTTCGACTTGGGTGAGTGCTTACCATATCGGAGTTGGCACCCCTAACCTTCCACAAGTTATATGATGGGACTCGATCAGAAGACCTTCATACCCCCAGACGGATCTTCAGACGAGATGGACGATAGCCTTCATAGAGAGCGACTTGCTTGGACGTGTAGGTGTTCGGTTCTTCGTCGTTGTAGCAGTATGCTGAGCATCTCCAAGACTGCTATATGTTTGACCGACAGTGAGTGACATACATCATCTCCATGGCTATGGGCTGAAATGCTCGATCTTCAGGATATCCATTCGCATCGGTAAGTGCAAGTCATCTGAGTATAGTCTCATATCTGACACCTGCGCAGGCAAGGCCTTCTGGAGTCGAGGTAATCTCATTACTCGCCAATCTCGTCTCTCCTGATACCTGTGTATTTCCAGGTCCGGGACTTTGCTTCCAGTCATCGGGCTACTACACAGAACCCAGTCCATTTATCAACTTCCCAACTCTGCGACCAGTGGCAGGCGTTCAAGACGATTTCTCCTCCTTGGTACAAGCGTATGCCCATGCAACTAATCTGTGAGAGCACGACGGGCTGACTTTTGTTCGTCAGCTATGTGGAGCTGACGCAAACCATGACCTCGGCCCATGACATTCTGTACCCTTCCAAAGATCGTACAATCACTCTAGTCAGAGTGGGGGAATACCATAAGTATGCTCATTCCCGTTCCTGTGTATACTTGGCGACTAATATCTACGGTTCGCTCAGGTATCTCGATGCCTTTACGCGAAGTATGTCGTCATATCCACCTCTCTTAGAGCTGATATCTGACGAGCCTCCCGTAGGTATTGTAGGTCTAGTCCCGATCGCACTACGTGGTGTCCACTCAGAGGTTTGTGCTCTTTCAGAATGGCTTCCGGTTAACTTGGGGTGACAAAAAATGGGAGACGTTCCCGATTTTCGAGTGCGTGTGGATCTCTTTTGTATGTAAATTCTCACCTATCATCGCGTGAAGAGATGCTTGACCATGGCCCCTCCATTCAGCATTACCTGCGGCTATATATCTCCTCGTTTGCATTCCAAGCGCATGTCCAACGAGCGGCCCCTACAGCTTTGCAAGCAATGAAGGATGAAGGTGACAAGAAGCCATTCGATGACCTCATCTTTCCCCGGGGAGTTACTGGTTCGCCGGACGCTAAGTTCATTCTGGAGGGCATCAACGCGGCGGTTCGTATCAGCGGTTGTGATTGGGTTTCATCAAACTGACTTGGAAACGCCAGACTGAATTGGTGAAGATCTGCACTGATCGATTGCATCCAGGTGGCGCCCTCCCTTATCTCCCATATCGATTCTATCTCTTCTTCTCGTGAGTGTTGTGTTAGTTCTGTCCCAACGATACTTCATGTCTCTTTGATTTCCAGATATGCGGCTGTGTTCCTGCTCAAGGTACCTATACTGTCCAACATTTTTGCGGCCCGTTTTAACCCATCCAACAGGCGGTCTTCATCGGGGCGATTGTGGCGGACGACCAGCCGGAGACTCTGGCTCTCCTGAAACGTCTTATTGTCTGTCTGGCCTGCGCCAGCACAGATGAACAACACCCTGGCGTACGGTATGCAAGACTGCTCAACGGCCTCTTGCGTACCTTTAGCCGAGGAAGGGACTTTGTGGAGAGCCGCGCTCAGAGCCCTCACCCACGAAGCTCTCACCAGGATTCGCGACGGCATCGAGGAGGGATGTCCGACGCCACACGTGCAGATACACTCGCCAGCGATACACGTCGAATTGGCCCACATCACAATGGAATCACAAGTATCAATACCCGACTACCTCTCGAGCCTTCATTCGAGACTCCAATACACTCTCATCCAGTTACGATGAATGGCTCGTCCCATCCAGCGGCAAACGACCACCTCGGATTCCTACAAAATGGAAACTCATTCGCCAGTTTCCCGTTGCCCTCCTCCGGCCAGTCGATGTGAGTGTCACTGTATCTTCCTCGATTTGTCACTAACCTTCGCGTTCAGTTATGACCTCAATCCACCTCCAGCGTCCGAAGAATTCTCTCGACTTCTTTCAGACCATGAAGCACTGGATAATGACTTTTGGCGATCTCTACCTCTGCAAGGGGATTGGAATCTTGCTGATTTCTCGTGGACTGGGAATCCAATGGTGTGAGCGGTATTGTTGTATGTTGTATCTTATCGGTCGTTGTATTTTTGGCTTATCACGTGTATCTTGTACGAGTATTTGCGTCCTACGAAGCCATCAGTTCTGATGCATCGATACATTGCACCTTCGAATAACTTTCGCTGAGGCAGAAGGCCGACAAATTATGAAGGACATGTGTTAAATCCGGCAAGTATCCGTCTGGGGCGGGATCAAGTTTGTAACTTTGTATGTGAAGTCGATGCGAGGCCAAAACTATTGATGGATCTTCTCTTGGAGTTCTGGTGAATTTGCGGCAATGATGGCAACGATTGAGATGGAGGTTGAGGGGGTGAAGCAAAAAGTGAAAAAAATAAGGGCTCAGCCGGGAATTGAACCCGGGACCTCTCGCAGTTCAGATGACCCGAAGCGAGAATCATACTACTAGACCACTAAGCCGTTACGATCGGATCCTCGAGTGAGGTTAATATGGTGACTGAGAAGAGAATGGTCAAAGCAAAAAGTCCATCACTCTACATACGCCACGGTACACTCGTGAATCACTCCATCACCCACCTCCCCACAGCTGTACAACCCCCAACATCTGGATGCAACACAACCGACGCTAGCCAAAGTTCCAGTTGTCGCCGTCGTTTATCCAAGAATGCCGGCCGATACTTCGCCAGAGCGGATTTTGGTGGCAGGGCCGGGATGAGATGGCGACGATTCCGCTGGAGAAGGCGAGGTACAAGGAGGGTACATGATCGAAGAATAATGGAGACGTACGGGAAGAGTATGGACGAGGTCTGAATATAGGCGCTCGAAATCAGAGTAGCGCTTGTGGACGTGGATGGACGTCTCCTATTGGAAATTAACACCATTAAGGTGAAAGAACACTGGAGGTTGGGATGGGAGACTTACCTCTTTCGTTCTGATTACACAGTCGAACACTGTGCGGAATGGAATAAATGACCACTGCATCACAAAAGAAGCAGATAGAGCTCACCAACATAGGCGCCGCCCAACTTGTCCCCTACGTTCGTCCAACCGCTAATCTTTACATCTCTAGCAAAGGTAGAGCTTGAGCCGGAGTTGTCGCCGAGCCAGATGTCATTTGACAATACAGAAGGAGCGTGTCGGCGAGGGCCGGATTTCGTAGGAGTATTTGATGTCGGAGTGTGTGTCTCTGGACTCTAGTATGCGTATGAATACCACAGGGCTAGGATGATAGGAGGTTGTAGGTATTCACCTCGCAGAGCTCCTCGTACAACCGGGATTCTTCCTCGACGTCTATCCCATTTGGGATGACTTCAAGCAAGTTGTGCGAACCGCGAAAAGGGTGTGTCGGGGTTGCAGGACGAGGAACTGAGTGTGAAGAAGGGCCGGATTGAGGGGATGGAGAGAGCGACATGATAGTTGAATAGTTATGGGGGCTGTTGACAGTAGTGGAGTATTGACAAGAGCATGATACGGTTCAAGGGTAAATACAAGACGAGAGTTACTGGGAGGGGAGTGTGGGAAAACAGACTTGGGTTGTTTCTCTCCCAGCTCCGCTGCGGAATGGCATGGACTCTGCACTGGCTCTGGTTACTTGGATATCTGCCTCTTCATTTCATCTTGGGCGATAACTCTAGCTTTGGGTTTGGACTGTGCTATGGAGTCTCGCGCAGCCTGCTCCTCGCCGAAATGAAGTCTTTGCACGTGGGATCTGGCCGTTTATCCACGTCCTGTGTACACGAGGCACTCGGGTCTTCCTCAAATACCCCTCCTCGCCTACCCCACCTTTCTCTCTATCTTTCTTGCCATGACAGACCCGTATCTCGAATACCGCACTCCGCAGAGTGACGTTCATGATGACCCTTCGTTTCTCCGTCCCCTCGATAACTACCAACCAGATCCAAGTATCCCTGGAGGGTACGCCTACAGCCAAGCACGCCACGCCAGTCGAGCCAGTGCCGCAACATGGATCTCAATGCCCCAATCGGGAGGTCCCAGAAGACGACCGCTCCCACCGCAACCTATTCCCGTACCCCCTCCCGTCGAGCACGCTCGCGGCGTTTCTGAGTATTCGGACTTTGAATACATGGGTGTTAGTGTCGATCAACATGCGGAGGAGGAGGAGGAGGTCGCGGAGGAACCGGAAGAGGAAGAGGTCGAGGAGGAAAGGGATGAAGTGGTTGCAGCTCCTCCCCCGCCGATAATGTTGCCTGGTCCGAGTAAGTTGCAGAAGAGCGGTCGTCGACGCTTCGTTGGCGGATTTGTGAGTAGTTTGAAGAAATTGCCCAAGGCGATGGTGAGGAGTGTTGGTCGTGAAAAGCAGCCCATCCGGAGAGGTACGACGGATACGTATGGGACCGGCGCATCGTTCAATACTGTGGATACCCTTCCCCGATACCACACTCCGATACGACGGGTTCAGCCCCCACCTATCCCGCCCATCCACTACGTCGAGGCTATGGATATGCCTCAAGAGCATCCCACACCAGCTCCGTCTCACGTTTCTCGGCACCCTACCCCCGCCCCATCGAATCGATCTGTATCCTTCGATTCTAGACATCCTTCGCATGAATCGCAGCCCTCCCGTCATAACTCTCGTCACACCTCTCACCACACACACGTCTCGGAGGAGGATGAAGTCGAGGAAGAGGAAGAGGAGGAGCTACGAGGCCACACGCCGGATATACGAGATGGGTCCACTACAATGGTTCATCATGAGGGTTATCCCCCCGAAATTCACGGCACCACCTACATTCATCATACTCCGTCTCCTCGCGGCGAGCCGCTTGTCGTTCCCGATCCGAGATCTCCTGGAAGCCCCAACTTCCGTCCCACCTCCGATTACGACAAGATGAGTCGCTCGATCCGTACGACAGCCACCACTCTCGGGTCATACGCCCAGCGCGTATACCAGTTCTTCAAGGATCTGAACGACCTTCCATGGATGGCATCTGGTAACAGACGTGTAGCTGCCGATTATATTCCAGGCGATAACCCTCGTAGTCGCTATCGATATTCGAGATGGCGGGTGCGAGATGCAAACAAGGAGTGGTACACGGATAGGCGCCACACGCTCGATATGCTCAGCGTTGGCGAGCCTTCCTACACCAGGGGAGCTTCAACGTCGGGGTATACTTCCACTCACCGACGCACACGACATACGTCGCGTACGAGCGACCCTGGTCCTCGTACCCATAGTCATTCCCATTCTCGAGGGCACACTCACTCTCGTAGTCACACTTCTCCGAAGCCGCATTCGCCCTCCGCTTCTCATCTCGCAGCCCTTGATCCCCACGCGTACGGGCAAATTTCTTACCCATATGGCTACACTTACTCGCCATCACCCGGTAACAACTTCCAGCCGATGTACGTATACCCGTCTTCTCCTCAAGCGCAACAACACCAGCAGCCTGGATCGCCCCAGGCGATGCAACAAGCCATGCCAGTCTACTTTGTCGCTGGCTTACCTCCCCCTTTGCCTCCTGGTTACATCCCTCAGTCTCCACACAAACTCAAGCAGGCCGCAATGCCCCACATTCCAGGGAGTGGCGGAAGTGTGGGTGAATCTCAGGGGAGTTCGACGCCACAGGGTGGTGGAAGTCCGAGGTACCCTACAATGCTTTCATATCCTGCTCCTTTAAAACTTGCGTCGTGAGCTATTCGTCTCGTGGACTGTCCTGTATCGTTATTGGTTTCTCTTATCCTGTATCCCTTTCGGCAGTCATATTTGCGATGTATCACGGATCGTGTCAATTCGCAGCGGATTCGGTATCAATCACTCGCTCCGTCAAGCTTCGTGGGGCGTGAGTTCCCTCGTCCGCGTCGTCATGTCATCCAATAGGGTTCACCGATAAGGACGAGTGTAGATACAAATGTCCGGGGTATACGGGCACTGCGAAACATACAGAAAGAACGTGAAATGGTGGGTACCGCACCAGAGGTACTGAGCCCCTGAAGACTACGATTTCCACTTTCACATTTCCTCAGGTACATACGCGCTTGACGTCAAGCTCTTTCTTCGAAACCCGATAGTAATCCTTCCCTTTCCGCCTCCAACAATGTAGACTTGTCCACGACCATCTGAATGTTGTTGCGCTTGACTCGCCAAGAGGTTTGGTGATCGAGCCCTGCGACTGTACGAGTCAGCCTCGATGTTTTCACCCAGAGGAGATGTTCAGTCGGTTTGTTTAGGAGGGACGACAACGTGATAGCCTTGTGAGATGCTGAGATTGTGATGAGTGAGAGCTTCTGCCTTTCTGTATTGAGTGTCCACGAGTGGATGGGTAATCGTATCTGGAATAGAAAATGGTTCGGGATGAGAGGTGTCGGTGCCTCGAGGCGAAACCAAGATATGACGATAAACAGGCTTCCCATCTCCCGGGTGGCTCAATGGCTCAATCATGCCCGATCCCCTACATCTCTATTCTTCGTCAGTTTCTGTCTTTCATTCCAAACCTTGGCCCGTCGGTGGACCACCCCGCCGCACAGTCTCTTGATCCTGGTTCCAGTATGATCATACCAGACCATACTATCACGCGTTATTGCAAATCCAACACCTTCCCAGCACTCATTGTGGAACAAGATGTACGCATGAACCCATTGAGTGATAAAACTTTCCCCGTCACCAAGATTTCCAGGACTTTTCAACCATGCGGCCTTCGTATCTATTCCTCCGTGCCCGTCATGCCCATACGCCGCGTTGCCCCTCTGTAGCGAAGTGAGTCTTTCGCTATCTTTACACTACTCTTTTCTTGTCGACATATTGACTGGGCCCTTGAAGTTATGCTACTGCCACCCATAAACATAGAGAGAGTCGAAGTTCGCCCGTCGGACATGGAATCCCTGTGTGTTTCCAGAAAATTATCCTCTTTGAGTGCATATTGACAATTGGATACAGACTTCAGATCCTTTTCCCCATGCCCTAAGTCACGTCTCGCCGGAGCATGGCAATCATCCCATCGCCAATGCTTCTGGGGCCCTGGTGAATAATGACGGGTACATTTCAGTTCTGTTCAGTCAAAGCATCCATACTAGCCACTCAGCTCAAAGTCCTCCTCCCCAGATGTCGACAACTCGCCCTCCATGCCAATATCCGAACCCTGAGCCCTGTTCTACGCCACCGCCTTCCGGTGTTCCTGCAAGCTCAGAACAATCAAGTGGTGCAGATGGCCCTGTTGTAGTGCAGGTCCAACGATTTCAGTGTCGCATCCGGAGTCGCGGTGAATGTATAACTTGGTATTTATGGGCCCAACATAATATATATCTTACTTTTTCCATTGGGATGGGACATCTTAAAGTACTCATTAGTGGCATTAAAATGATCCAACATTCATCCAAATTGGTGCATTGGTTCTGGAGATATGGCTACCACAAGATATGCTGGAGTGACTGGGCACCCTGTGGACAGCTCCATGGCAAGCTCCCCTAAGGGTTTGGGAGTGGTTTCAATGGATTCTGCACCC